ACAAGGTCCTGAGTTTGATTCCTGCTATCAAAAAAAAAAAACAAAATAAGAAAACAAAACAAGCAAAGCATAGTTGAAACTCTTTTTTTTGGCATCAATTTATACAACCCATAGGCAATTTGGGGACTAAAATTATATGCAAATTACTCAACCAAATTTGGTTTTCAGTGAGTGGCTTTTTCAAAAAAATAAATCTATCCTACTTTGAGAGTCTAAAGAAGCAACTTTAAAACTGTTTTGTTTGTTTTTTTTGTACCAGGGATCGAACTCGGGTCTTGGCGCTTGCGTAGCAGGTCTGGAAACCACTGAGCTAAATCCCCGGCCCTAAAACTGTTTTGAATGATGATTTTAGTCTTAGAATGAGTACAGAGTGATCTCTTGGCTTCCATAGAAGGGGCCAACATTCATTTGTATAGTTAAATTCTAACATGTTGACTTTAAAAGCCAGGCATAGAGGATAGTTTGTACAAATAATTTCTGCCATAGAGATTAAATATGGGATTAAGACAATGGGTCCCACCACTTCCCTCCAGTGGGAGCTTCCCACATTCAGGGGACTGGATGCCAAGCACATCAGGTAATAACATTTTCCTGGCCCAGTCTGCATTAGTAAGGTCCTCAAATTCAAATGGAGCACTAGGTTATTATCTTCTTTCATAATTTCAACATATGGTTTCTTTATCTTCAAAATAAAATATTTAATATATCAACTTTATTTCTCTTGTAAAGTTTAAATTTGTGAAGCAAATTATTTATTGCTGTGAATTTGGCTGTGACACATTTTTTGTAACCATTTTCATTCAGCTTATATTATATTTTATCCACTTCTGGGGAGTTTTTTTCAGTATTTCCAATAATGTTCTTGTATGCCATTATTATCTGGGCACCCAAGATGGTCTCCAAGATAACACCTTTTTAAAGTTGGGATATCATTCTCTTTGCCTTCATATTAATTATAGATACATAGCAACAGAAAATGATTTTTATTCTAACAATAATACACATGTCACAAGGAATGAATATATTCATTGACATCAAATTAATTTGAATGATTTTTAAAAGTACCAAAATTGATATAGAAGAAAGGGGAAGAGCATAGTCTGCATTTTGATTTTCTTTGGGCCACACATTAGGTTTATGAGGGTATTTAATACCCTGAGTGTATTTACACTTGGCTTTCCTTCTCCTAAACCCTCTGAGTGACCTGGCTCAGAGAAAAGTTAGGACAGAGGAGCAGAGGCATGCATTTTGCCAGGCTAAGTCAGGCCAATGCAGCTGCTGGCTGGGCACTAGAGTGGGTGGCCACCTGTGGCTCTCAGAACAGCTGTTTGGTAGAGGGCCAGCGAAAGCCCCATTGTGGGGTGGAGGCAGGAGGCCAGTTGGGAGGCTAATACATTCTGGCATGGACTGAAAGAACACCTGGTTCCACTCTATGGACCCACCACAGAAGGTCAGAGAATGTGTTTGCTGGCAGCAACCTGATGGCCCCAGTTTTCAAGTCCCAGTGGTCCTGTTCTGACTGAAACAGAGAGAAACCCACCTTTCTTCCTCAAACTTACCCAGATGCTAACCTGGGAATCATTCTATTACAGCTATGCTGAAATACACTGCTAGGCCATTTGGAGTGTGTGTGTGTGTGTGTGCGTGTGTGTGTGTAAATGGTATGGGACTATAAGGCAGGGATGGGCTCTAGGATTTACAGTGAGGCAGTTCAGGGCCCAAAGTTGTAAGTGTTTGATTGCTGATCGCCATCACAGACATCTTTCACCCTAGACTGGCTCTGACTTCCTTTCTTCCTCTTCCCACGAACTCTAACTATATGCTTAAAAACCACTTTGGGTCTTCACTTGTAATTTTGTCATCAGACACTGGAATTTCCACACAGAACATCATTATTTCCCACCCTTCCCTGACCCCTGAGGTCCTTCTCAAGGCCTCAAGCCCATTGTTTCCCAGGAAAATGAACCTCATTTCTTTTGGCCTGGTGAGTTAGTTTTTCTCTGACAGAGGAACATCCTTCCCAACTGTTATCGCTTATCTCTATATATCCTCCAAAGCCTCCAGCTCTCATAGGTGAGGCCTTTGGGAGTGACTGGATCATGGATGTGTGATGCTGAATCAGTTCACTGTTGGCTGAGCATAGTTCTGGGTGTGGGTGATGGAATTACTTGAAAAGGAAGATCCACCCTGAGTGTGGGTGGCACCAACCAATAGGCTTGCAGCCTTGATGAAATAAAAAGGAAAAGAATAAAGTCTTGTTGCTTCCTGTCTGCCACACCATGAACTTTTTCTCCTCTGCCATGCCCATCCACCATGCTACTTTGCCTTGGAACATGCAGACTATGGACTGAAACCTCTACAAACTGTGAGCTAAAATAAACCTTTCATCCTTTAACTTGTGTGTGTTGGACATTTTGTCCCAACAATGAGAAAGTAACTAAGACACCAACTTCTTGACCCAGGTGCAGACCAGGCAGTTCTTCCTGTGTGCTAAAAAGGTGACACTCCTCTCACTGGTTCTATGACCCTTGGCAACTGACCAAATCACTGTGAACCCCAGTTTTGACATTCATAAATGAGAACTGATAATATTATTAGTTTTGTTGCAACTAATTTAATGTGAGCATATGTGAAGCACCTAGCACAGGATCCCAATGCTGTAGGCACACAACAAACATTAGTTTGTATGAAGGATTAATCATGGCTGAGTCTACTCTCCAGATACAGAGGCCCACAACTGGCCTGAAGGAGCTCTGGACTGCGACTCCTACTTGTCACCTTTGCTTGGAATTTCAGGGACCCTTTCTCTCAATTACTGTTCTGCCTGCAGGAATTCCAGAGTAAGTACAGCACTGTGAACTCATAAGGTCACCTGCTATGTACAACTGCCCTTTCTGGTGGCATAGACCAGGCCCCTCCCAGAATCACCTAGTGTTACCTGAGGAAGGCATGCTGACTTCTAGGAAGCCCAGAGTTGGTGGGATTACTTGTCCTCTTGCTGTGAAACCACTCCTATCAGTTAAAGTGTCTAAATCCAAAACGTCTTGATTGATTTTCATAAGTTTTAAAGTCCCCGCAATGAAACCTGACTGGTCAAGTGTGATGTTCTGTGCCCTGAAGTGAATGAGAATATTCAGGCTCATTTGGGCTCATGTCCCTGGACCTAGGGACAATAGGTAGTATTGGGCCCTTGTGTAACTACAGTGTTATTCTGTTGAAGACAAGACTTGTCTTGGAAATTAGCCTCATTACCTATGTAGTTCCAGGCTTTCAGTAGGCTATAGAGAGCCATCAACCAAAAGACAATAGGCATAATGCTGCTTTCTTTAAAGCGGAGCCAGTTCTTAAGCCACAGTTCCATTTCTGGCCTCAGATACTGTGTATGGATGAAATATGGGACAAGAATGCTCAAAATAACCCTCTGAAAAAAATGGGATGAGAGAAAAGACCACCTTTCTTTCAAATTGGAGCTTGAGGCTTTGAAGTCTGAGGTAGAAAACTGTTGTCAACAGCTATTCTTTTAAAAACACATGTTAATTTATTCTACACATTCTGATGATATGAATGAGATAGAATTGCAAACACAGCTTATCCATCCCTTTTCATCCAGTGATTGATTTTTTTATCTTTCTTGTGATCATTTATTTAGAATTTTCCAATTCTTGTGGACTAAGACTTTTTTTTTTTTTTACAGTGAATTACACTTTTTCCTTCTTTTAAAAGTAACAATTTTTTCCCCATTCACATATTTTTCTTGTCAAGGTCCATTCATTTCCCCCTAATTTACTTGGAAAAACACTTGGCCTTTTGGAGCAAAAGGGCTTAAGAATGGACTATTGTTTCCAGAAGAACACCAGAATCGCCATGGAGAGCAGATTGTTCTTGGAATCAGTACCTTAAGTAGTAGTGTCCTTTAGATATTTCAAAGGGGGAAAAAAGCATTTAATTGGAAGCTTGAAAGAAACTGTAGATTATAAAACTCTAATTTGATAAATCTAAGCTAAAGCAAGCCTTGCCAGTATTCCTGCCTTTCCTACCTCTGGGAGATCTAACCTTTGCAAATGCAGTGGGAGATTAAAATGGGTGGCACTCATGATCTTCTCATTCACTAAGTATTCATAATATTTCAGCCTCTTCTGGTTCCTAGGATGATCTGGGGAAAATACTCTCCCTCAACTGTCTAATCATCTCATTTAGCCTAACCTGATTTATTTTAGAGAGAGAGAGAAACAGGGCATGTGGGTGATGTGAGTGGGTGGACTAGTGTCACCATGCTTCAATGTTCTATATCTTCCTGTGCACCCGATGAAGTTGTCATTATGAAAGTACTCAAATAGCTAAGCATGCAGGGGGATCACCTTCACATTGAAAGGTTTTTCTTATTGACCTTTGTATATTATGTTATTCAGCTCAGCCAAGCCTGAGTTATTTATTCTCTTCTGCCTAACAGGAAATATCAGAAGGTGGAAAAATTGGTCCATCATGTTTCTATGTTCTCCATTGAATCTGCTGAGAAAAATCCTTGGAATCATCATTCAGCACTTTTTCCTCAATTGAAATACCTTGTATGTTCTGTAATACTAAGAATTTACACAAATGGCAAAAGAAAGCCCAAAAGAGTTGTGTGTGCACCCAGTGACTGCAGTTGTATGGTAGTGGTCAATCTGGATATCCTTTCTAGCTTCAGAATGACTGATTAATGGGTGGCTGGCTGTTCTGATGTAGCCCACAAGAAACCCCGAGGCCCTTGCATTTAGATAGGACTAAAGTATGCTCATATATTTGGTGCAGTTCCTGAGAAGGGTAGTAAAGATATCCAAATCATTTCAATCCTGGATACTGTCTGGATAATTTAGATAATGTAGAAGTGGTATCCCAAAAAGTATTCCTTGTACTGCAAGTTTAACCAAGCTTTTCAGTAAATACACAACTTCCATCTGAATAATTCTTACAAGCTGAATTTTTATTTTTACTAAATTATGTTAAAAAGAAATCTGTGCCTGGTGTGGAATTTCACTCCATCAAGTGTTACAATGACTTTCATTTTCATCACAAGCAGGAGAATGAAAGGAGGACAAGTGTTAGGAAACATGGCAATAAATTAGAATATAATTTACAAAAGCAAAAGCAGTAACAGTGTACCACATTAATACTGAGTATAAAATAATAAGCAACAACTAATCACAATAATACAAAGGTAATTTTGTTCTGTATTATTAAGGATACCTACATGACATTCACTCAAATAAAAAATGTTCCTAATGAAATGAACGGTTAGAAAGCCCTATGTATCTCCAGGGGTTTGATCATTTGGGTGTATTTACCTTTTCTTTTTTGGTAGTTCTGACCTATATATCAGTGGCAGACCCTGTTCCCAGCTGCAAGATACCATTTTCCTTGGGGTTTCCTAAGTGTCAGATAGCTCACTACTTTTTCAGTGCCTGCCACAGTGGTCTAGACTCCACTGACAATTCTGTTGTTACTTAGGAACAAAGCTTCATGTAGCCATGTGAGTAGCTACATAGCAATAGCAGTATTGTAACATGCTGTGGAACATAGTTTTTAACCTGCTGAGGTTTAAATTCAGGATCTACCTGAAAATGTTTAATCCTGTTATATTCTGTGCTTCTTTCCCTCCTGAAAGGTGATCCAATGGCTTTCCAGGAAGCAAGCTGCCCTCAGTGCTGTTGCACGTCTCAGAGGCAAGCCTCTTCTAGCACCAGTTGAGGTACTGCAGTGCCCAGGGGTATGGTCATTGCAATGGTATTTTCCAGGTGAGGTAAAATAGAGCCTTTAGTCAGTAATGTAAGAGATCTTTTTGAAATAGAAACATGAATTGATATTTGTGCTGTTGAAAGATACAGGTAGCATAGAAACCACCCAGTTTTTGTTTATTTCACCAGGGCACAGTAGCACCAAGTTACCTTTTTAAAAAAAAAAAAAAAAAAGAACAAAGGAATTCCTTGTCAGGGCCATGCTGCTCATGGCTATTTTCCTTCAATGAAAAGCCAAAGTGGCACTTGATCATCTATGGGCAGAATAGGTGTGGACTTGGCAATATCTCTTGTGTCATCAATAGGACTCTCTAGCAAACTCAGGGATGAGAAAGGTGGGACTTAGAGAAGCTGGTAATGAATTAAGGATGGTCATGACTGAGTATGCAGAAAACCCTGTGCCAACTGTCCATAACAAACTCAGAAGTTTAGGTTCTCTCTTCCTTTCAGAAAAAAAAAATCAATAACCTAAGATCATGGTATTTGTGACATACAGATGTGTAGTTTCAGAGCACAGTGATGGATATAAGTGAAACATGCCCTTTAACTGCAAATATTATCTTTACAAAATAGCCATTTAGAGTTTTAGGTTCTGGTGTACCCATGGTGTACACACATGTACAATATAGGAGGAGTATTGGACACAAGGCATATTCATTGAGAACCTGCTACAAGCTATAAGTGTTCAAGTAAAAAATATTAATATTAATAAGTACTCTCTTGAAAAAAATCTAGCTGTTGAGTCTTCTGATGAACAGAGTGTGAGATTTGAAGATATAAGCTAGTCACTTTAATTTAGGTGGATGCTATTCTAGAGTTTGACTTGCCTCAGACATGGTTTCACATTTAATCTCCATTTAGAGTATCCATAAAAATACAAACTAATTGGTTAAGTGACTATTAAAATTATGTTTTATGATCTCTAGTCTTTGTGAGTTTTTCTTCTTTGGTTGTTATCCCTTGTCTACTTTAAAACTCATAGAAATAACACATTTATGTGCAAGCACACTCATCTATCCATATATTCAAAAGCATCAGTGTGCACACATACACACACATACACACACATACTTGCTGTCATATAAATAAGTGCCCTTCTACCATATCACAGAAGGGACATCTAGAACCCATTGTAATTGTCAGCAAATTGCAAAAGGGTCTGCCTTGTTGTTCCGAGCCAGTCTATCTTTTGCATGGCATCAACTCAGTAAGCTCAACATGCGTGCAACAATCTAACAGGGCAGAAACTGTTCTGTGGCTGGTGAGGATGTAAAACACAACTGAGTTAGTGTAACTCAAATAAGAAGAAGGCATTCTGTGTGATAGCAAAGAGCCTGGTACTTTAGTCTTTACCATATCCCAGGTCTGGCTTCTGCATGAAATTGAAATGTTTTTCTCTTAAAGTTTTAATGGAAATCTCAGCTTCACTTGCACAATGGCAAGTTGGCCACAGTCTTTCAGCATTGAATTTATAGTCTTGCACAGCTGCAGTAACTGATGCACTGCTTTAAACTAAGTCCCTCATTGTTCAGTTTAATATAGTTTTATATATGGCTCACAGCAGTGTTCAGAACAGGGGGATTATTCCTAAGGCAATTAAGTGGAATGAAGAAAAATAATACAAACTTTCATTACTTTTAATTTAAAATTGCTCTTAAATTACAGTTCAAAGCCCAGTTTATAATTTAAATTGTGGTGCTGTTTAGTGAGATAAAGTATAGTAAATATTTTTAAGCTATGACTTAAGAATTCTGAATCTTCTTTACTTCTATAGTTGACCAAGTCATAACAGCTACATTTTAAACAGTTTTAAATACAAATTGATTCAGTGTCATTGCTAAGTCCATAATAAAAATTATCTTAATGGTCCAAGGAGGTAAACAGGCTATTGGATTTACTCGAAAGAACACAAACGTTCCACAGTAAGCAAGTCTCCTTGTGTTGTTTGGATCTCTCCAATCTGGCATTCTCTCCTAATACCGTGTCCAGCACTTTGGATCAATTAATCCCACTTCACAGAAGTTAAAATAATATTGAAATCCTGTCAGCTAGGGCTGACCAGTGGTTACGTTTTCCACAGGGTAATGCTTTTGCAAGGACATCAATCCTCTTCCTCTGGGTGGCTCTCATTGATGGACGCATTTCCATGATGAAATGACAAGGTTCTCTCTCTGGCTTTCCATGGGTCAGTGTCCTTGGCAGGTTTTACAACACATCTGTCTGAAGTATGCTCGACTGCAGAACTTGAACTTCAGCACCAGTGGGCAATAAGCCACTTTGTTCACATCTTTGCACTCTAAAGGATGGGGCAGAAAATGGAAAATAATTAAATACACAAACAAGTACATAAACAATCCAATGCACCTGGATAGCTAGCAATCCCCTTCAGGCCAATCTACTTTGGCTTTCACATCCTTGTGGTTTTTGTTTTTGTGTTTAAGTATACTCTGTCCGGTACAGCCTACCAGAAACATTCTTTTGACATATTTTAACGTGATAATTTTCAAAAATGTTTGCAAGGCTTTTCTTCCAGACTTTTATAAGTATGGTGCATGCCTACTGTGTCTTGAAAGAATTACCATTTGTTGGGATAAGTGATCGCTTTAGACAGCTTGGAAACATGAGTCATTTTTCTTACAGTGCTTTTATTGCTTCTTTCTCAAGGGTTATTTTATTCAACAGTGCAAGGTTATCCAAAATCAAACATGAGTGGCATTATTTGATATCAAAGTACATACATCTCAAGAGAATCTGTACCTGGGAGATGTGAGGGTGGGCCTGGGTGAATTCAAAGCATTGTTGACAGTGGCCTGGATTCAGCAACTACACTAGACAAAGAGGAAAGCTTTAAAGGGTTGGCCTCAAATGGCAGCAGTCTGTGGGTTATGGAAACATGTAGAAATGTCTTTTTTTAATTTTGAAGTGAGACATGGCCTCCTTTTTTCCTATGTGTATTTTCTCTTCAGTCCTAGACTTGCCACAGTTGTAGTCTACAGTTCTTGCAGCCAGAAGGTGAATAAATTATTCTTTTCCCATCTCCCCTTGGAGGTCAGGTGCAGAGGTGGGATTGAGGGGCTGGTATAGAGAAAGGGACATAGGCCTTTGATTATTAGCAGCCCTCCATATCCATTGCCACCAATATAATCTCATTGTTTATAGTGATATTCTCTGGGATTCTGGTCCCTTTTATCTGGGAATTTTAAAATATCATGTTAATCTAGTAATTAAATTTTTATATGTCTTCTGGAATTAAATGTCCACCCTCATTTTTCCAGGTAGCTATAATGAAATATACTGAGTAAATTGTTTAAGTTAATTAGGAATCAGGCAAGGTACTGGGTAAAATACAGGGTGACAGAACAGTTTTTGTTGGTTTCCTTGTTTTTCCTGACTCCAGAAACCCACTAAAATTCAGAGAGATCTAATACCTGGTACACGAGCCATAGGATAAAGATGGAAAATTAAATGCAAAGAAATGGGGAAGTTTCTAGTTATTATCGAAAAGCATGGTAACAATCTTACTGATCTCATTTTTAAGATTCTTTCAGTGGAAATCCTCAAATTTGAAATGGAAACCCTCAAATCCCCTAAAAACATGAGCTCTACCAGGGTATGGTGGCACAAGCCTGTAATTCCAGCACTTGAGAGGCTGAGGCTAGAGGATCACCATGGCCAGCCTGGGCTACATAGTGAGTTCAAGGCCAGCCTGTACTAGATAGCGAGGCCCCCGTCTCAAAAAACCAAACCAAAAACAAACAAACGAAACAACATAAGTGCTGCCACCATCAAACTCCCTTACTCAAGATTTGATTTACAAAGAGAATAATAGTGCTCACTTCAGCAGCACATATACAAAGAGAATAATATTTAGAAATTTGAATGAAGTTTTCATACTATATTCTTAGTAAATTTAAGTTTTGGCTGAAAGAAGGTAGGAGGAACACAAAAAACTTATTTAAAATTGTACTTAAAAATAAATCAGATGATATTTGGTGGATCATGTGTAAATTTGCAGGGAAAAGATTTTCACAAATTTTAAATTGGAGATCACTGGGAATTGGGTTGTTTGTTTTCCTCTCTAAATAGTCATGACCAATAAAAGTAACCAAAAAAGTTTTGACTCACAAAATTTTTGTGGAAAAATATCTGTTACTATCACTGTTACCAAGAGGAATATATTGTCCAGGTAAAACATTTACTAAAATAATGAAGAAAGCTGAGTGCACCTCTACTGACATAATGTCACCCACTTAACAGGGTAACCACTCTCATACTCTGCAACAAGACATAGCACAACTACTTAAAATATAAAATAAACTTTAGCTTTGAATTTTTTTGACAAAATATAAAAGCAATTTAGTTGATAAACAGAGGAGAATTGTTATTTTAATAGCACAAGGATATACAATTAGGAGCCAGATATAATCCTAGTTTTACCATTTACTAAACTTTATGACTAAACAAATCATGTAATCTCTCCAAGCCTAGGTTTTTTCAACTTTGGAGTAATTGGACTACCCACTGTCACATGTAACATGTGTTAACTACATGAACATCCTTATGTACAACAACTAGAGCAGAGTCTGGTGCCTATAAAGTGTTGGGTAACTATAAGATACTGCATTGCTACTGTTAGTAGTTATTAGTGTCTCTTACTGCTTGACGATAGGAAGGAAGCAAGGAGTTGTATGGTAAACTTCTCAATAAGGATGCAAAATTCAGATTGCTACTGAGAAAACATTGCCTAAAGACAGGAGACAGTTTGAAAACAGCTCTAAAACAGTTTGTAGACAAAACAAAGATGAGTATTTCCAGGGTCGCAATTTTATTCCAAGAGTCCTTACTCCATTTTTAGAAGAGTTGATGGAATAGAAAATTCTGAGTTGAATGAAATATGAACAAATTCAGATTTTTCTTCTAGATTTTAGACTTTGGGATTTGATTAAATAATACATAACAAATAGAATATTTATAAATTTGTTCTTCCTCCACCTACCCATCTACCCATCTACTACAAATGTAAGCCATGGGGCATTTGCTCCTTAGCCAGGTGCTGGAAATAAAACTCTCCTCTGTGTGCAAAGGCCCACAGCACAGCCCTCTGTTCAGGAGCATTACTGTATCCAGCCTCAGGGTGAGCTCAGGGATAACCCAGAATGTCTCTCCCTGAGCTTGCCAGGGAAAAACTTAACCTTTGTTAAGTTAGCTACCAACTAATTGAGTTGGGAGTAGGAAGTCACTGGGTCCTGGGATCAAGTTCAGGGAGGTAGGGGTTCATGATGAGCACCTCTTAAATTGCTCTTGATAGCAGCACAACATAGTAGTTAATAGCCAGGAAGTCTGGAGTCAGGTGGGTGTGGAGTGAATTTTGGCCCTACCTCTATAACATTTTTCCTTTCCCAAGTTATAACACAACTCTAAATCTCAGATCCTTCATCTCTAAAATGAAGACTATGATAAGACCTGCTCATATAAGGATGTTGTGAGGCTTACATGAGCATAGTGTAAAGCACATGCCATGGCACCTGGCTCAGAGTAAGCATTCAGTTTGTTCTCTCATTATTGACACAAAAACATCTGTCTCTGAAAACAACCATATATTATTTCTCTGAGATCCCTATGGAAATGAATATAGGCTTTTGGAAGGGTTACACATTTGCACAGAAGCAAATGAACAGAATGCTATAAAACAGAGAGCAGGAGGAAGAAGTGAGGAAAGACCTGGGAAGATCCAGAGACTGCCAAAGCTCAGAAAGTAGGTCTCTATGAGACATTAATATGGAACTGTTTAAGCTGTACAAGGACATTTAGCTTTAAAGGAGTATGGGAACTCCTGAAAAGGAGGACTGTATGGAAAATTTAGTTCCTACTTCTTGGTTTTTGCCTTCTAGGAACTATGTTGACTAGAAGAATTGATTCATTGCAATATTGGGATTGATGAGAATCTATTCATCAAAGGTCAACTATGAGTTGTCTTTTATTCTTTCTGTCTTTTAAGTCCACAAGTGCTCAATTTGATAATAACAGCATTAAATATTATAATTTATCAAGCACTTCCTTTGTGTCAGGCTCAACTTTAGGTGGTTTTATATATTTTTATATTAATCATTTTAAGTATATAATATGTCAACTTTACACAGACAACAAAACTTAAACTAAAACATGGTTATGAAATTCATGCTGAGTCATACAGCCGCTAGTTGGTTTAAGGACTGGGATAGGACAGGGCCACTGCAGAGCCACTCTGATTTCAGCATTCTTGGCATCTAGATATAAAATGTTTCTGCCTGTGCCTGTGCATTCTTGGCTGGCACTACTGATAAGGCAATTTTTGGGACATCATAGTCAGCTCTTCTTTGTTTTTTTGAGAGTTTGCTTTGCCTCCATAGGGAAAGGGGAAAAGTGTTTTTAAAAAAGCAAAGAAGGGAAGGAATAAATATGAGAAAAGGAAAAAACGGAAACAAAGTCTTTGTAAATAGGGAGGGGTGGAGGGGTGGAGGAAGGTCAGGGGGATGGGGAAAAAATAAGAACCAAGATATATCATGTAAAGGTACAAGTTCCCAGTGATGAATATCATTATACTGTATACCTAAAATATACCAATAAAATTAATGAATAAAAAAAAGGAATATTCTAGGTCACAGACACTTAGAGTAGCCTGAATTATCTATTCCTACTTTTCTTCACTGTATCTTCCTGTTCAAATTTTGTAAAATTACATGAATGAGGGCTGGGGGTTTAGCTCAGTGGTTCTATCACCTGGCTCAAAAGCTCAAGGTCCCAAGTTCGATCCTGGTACCCCCCACCCCAGCCAAAAAAAACCCATTACATAAGTGAAAAGGGATTTTAGATACACCAAGAAGTTTTAAAGACCCATTATTATAGAAAGTTAAATGCAATTCCCAAAATATAGTTACCACCTTTAAATTATATTGGTGCATTCAACTTACTGCCACTTTTACCTTAGCGAGGACTCATTTGTTGCATTGTTGGATTTAACTCATTGACAGGGCTGATGCAGTTGAGAAGCCAAAACTATAAAATTTATCCCTTCATTGGTTGGCCTCATCCTCAAAATTCATTAAGATTATGAAACTGTTGGGCCAGGGATTTAGCTTAATAGTGCTGTTCCCACCTGTCTGCCTTGCAAGCAAAAGGTCCTGAGTTTGATCCCTGGTACCAAAAAAACCCAATATAGCCTACTTTTTGATTTAAAAAATTCTGAAAAAGTTGTACATAAAACATTTTCCTATCAAAATCAGACAATAACAGAAATGTCCTGTTTTAATTTCTGAA